GCAGAAGAGTGACTTGACGCCCACCAGCCTCGGGCCAGCCATGGACGTAAATCGATCAGATCGCGATTAGTTACCGCTCGAAGGCTGTGTCCAAAACTGTCGTTCGATTTGAGCATGAGCGCAGATTTTGACAACGCACTTGTTTGCGCCAAGCTCCGGGTGCGTTTCGGTGGATGTCCGCAACGTCGCTCTGAGCGCATTGACACCAGCCAGCTGACGAAGCCAGGTGTTCTGAATGTGTATCAAAGTGCGCTGAAATCCGGGCTGAGTAAGCGCCCACTGAACACCGTTGAAGATCACTGGTCGCATATTCGTTAAACGTTCCTATCAGCAGGCATGTCTTCATGTGGCAAATAAAATTGCCAACCTAGACATTGGGTCTCTACTCAGTCTCTGGAACTTATGGATGCTCGCCGACGTATTCCGGCTGGAAGCGAATACAATGAGGCTCGCAAAAATCTCAGGGCAAAACTGCGTGCTAGTCTGAAGAAAAACCACAAATCCTAGTGGTATCATGGTGCCTCGGATATGGAAACAGCTGCTACCGTTGGTAATCATCGCAAGTTATTCCGTTTGATACGGGAAACAGGCAGCAGGAGACCTGGTGTTAGCGACACAATACGCGACGACAGTGGGCAGCCGATCCACAGCCTATCAAAATGCTTGGAACGTTGGGCCGAACACTTTGCAAGGCAATTTATCCAACCTGTTATTGCTTTCTTTTTCGGGCATTGAGCGGCCTTTTCCTGAGCCGCCTCGTTGGATCCGTCCTCACGCGCAGAAGTCGAACGTGTGACCAGGTTGTCGAAATTGTATAAGGCCGCAGGAGCAGATAGAATTCACCCAGCCCTCTTCAAATTCGGAGGACCTGCTCGCGTAGATGATTAACAAGAGTTGCTAATGAAACTTTGGGAGCAGGAAACTGTACTGACAGACACCAGTCGCTCCGTCGTTGTTCCAATTTTCAAGGGAGGCTCCCGGTCGAAATGCAGCAACCAGAGAGGGATCAGTTTGATCGCAATTGCCTCTAGATTGCTTGCGTCTGTCATACTTCACAGACTGACTGGCATTCGTGAAAGCCAGATTCGTGAAGAGCAAACCGGGTTTCATCGAGGTCGGGGATGCATCGACCACATCATCAAATCTCGTCAATTGTCGGAATACCGCCATGTGTATTGGCGACCCACGGTGGTCGTGTTTCCTAACATAAAGGGTGCCTTCGACTCAGTCGATCGATGTGCACATTTTGACTTTCTGCTGAGAAAAGGTGTGCCTGACAAATACGTAAACATTTCCAAAGCGCTGTACGCGCATAGTTCGGGCAGAGTGGGGGTTTATGGCAAACTGTCGCCACCCTTCAGTATCACTAGAGGTATGATAAGATAGCCTGCTGTCACCTTTCCTTTTCAACTTCGCTACTGATGGAGTCATGGAAACACCGTTCGCTGGACACGACCTAGGTGTGGAGCTACTTCCTGGTGAGCGACGTTTTGACATGGAGTATGCGGACGATATTGTCCTAATCTGTAACAGCTCTCAAACGTACCAAGATGCATTAGACCGGTTAGCGCTGACTGTCTATCGTATTGGGCTATGGAAATGTAAAGTACTTCTCCAAAATGAGCAAGGACCCACCCTTGCGCTAACGCTTTGTGGTAATCAGCTAGAAGTCCTTCAGAAATTCAAGTACCTAGGCAGCTATATTGGCGCCCGTGGGAACGAATATGAGGTTGCGTACAGTATAGCAAAAGCTCGAGGTATTTTTGCTAATATCCGCCACCTATAACACAGACGCAAAATCACTCTTGCCCTGAAAGGCAGAGTTTATAATGCAGCCATCAGTTCAACCCTCTTATACGGTTGTTAAACCTGGCCCATCAGATCGACGTTCGATCACCGGTGCCTTCACAGCTTATCTCATGTCTGGCGGGAGCACCGCGTGAGCAATGAGCGTGTTCGACGTCGCGTATTTGGTGCAGGAAGAGCGAGTGAACCGCTCAGCACCATTATATCACGCACCAGGCTCCGATGGCTGGGCCACGTGTTGCGCATGCCAGCACACCGACTCCCGCGACGTGCATTGTTTGCGCGTTGTGGGTGCGGTTGGAAGAGGAGGAGGGGAGGCCAAGTGATGACTTGGTCGAGAGGAATGAAAACCCTCACTTCGAAATTGGCGTCGGTTGGTGCATCCCGACTACCTGGCTGGGATCCTAAGGATGGTGAACACGTTTGGTTGGACACACTCGCTGATATGGCTTGGAGCCGGCCCCAATGGCGTTTGTGTTGTGAGTTCCTTTGTCCATCCGCCTCCTGCTTAGCATCCGCCTCCAATAATGACCTCACCTGATAAGTATAATATGACTTTTACTGCAGCCAGCTGTTAGCTCTCCGGAATGATGTCCATCCGTTACTGGGGACTTAGCGGGCGTGCCACCGTTTGTTTTCCTTTTCTTATCTTTTGTATTGCGGCACAATAGCTGAGGTGTTTTCCACCTCCAGCTAACGTGTAATGATGATGATGATGCTTCTGTCGCCCTTCGTAGACTGAATGACATCCAGGAAGAGTTTTGTCGAAGTGGAGACTGCATTAACCACAGTTTCACTTCATCAGTTGTTGGAGCACCGCTACTTATATTGCCGACCTACCAGTCATGTTCCACGATATTAAAGGCGCCTTCAATTCGGTGGAGCGATGTGCCTATTGGGACGATTCGATCAAGAGAAATGCGCCCGAGAGATAGGAAAACATTTTCGGAGCACCGTACTCGTGTAGTTTGGGCATAGTGAAAAATATGGCACGTTGTCGCCACCCTTCAAGATTACTAGCAGTATGAGACACCACTTTTCCTTTTCTTATTTAACTTGAAATCTGTTTTCAATGAACACGACTTAGAGGGTGGCACTGCTCTCAGTTGAACAACCTGCCGACGATATTGCGCTCACTTGTAACAGCCCGCGAACGTGCCAAGCTGCACTGGATAAATTAGCTCTGGTTGTCAGTCGTTTCAGGTTATGTTTTGCACCGTCGAAACGCAAAGTCCTGCATCAAGATTAACGTGGACCCGCACATGTTCTGACCCTTGGTGGTGATCAGCTAGAAGTCGTTCAGGAATTCAAGTACCTGGGCAGCTATATTAGCGCCCGTGGGATCGAAGCTGAGATTACAAACCGTACAGAAAAAGCACCAGGTGCCATGGCCAATCTCCGCCACCTGTGGCGCCGACGCGACATCACTCTTTCCCTGATGAGTTGAGTTTACAATGCAGACGTCCGGTCAACACTTCTGTGCAGTTGTAAAACCCGGCCCATTAGACCGGTAGACATAAAGTTACGTCCGATCATCGCTGCCTTCGCAGTTTAGCTGATGTCTGACGAGAGCACCGCGTAAACAATGAGCGTGTTCGGCGCAGTAAAAGCAAATGAGTCGCTCAGTTGTTTGCGCGACCGTCGTCTCGTTGGAATAAGAGCTGGGGGCAACTGACAACTTGGTTAAGAGGAATGAAAGCCCTCACTTCGAAGTTGGCCTCGGTTGGCGCTTCTCTGCTTGTGATCCTAAGGACGAGGAATACGTTTGGTTGCAAACACTTGTTGACATGGCGAAGAGTCGATTTCAATAGCGTTGGTGTTGCGAATATATTTGTTATTTGTTTCTGTCTTGTGCATTTTACCATACATTCCTTTATATTCTTATTTCTTTAATATCTTAACGCATTATATTTCAGCACAATATCTTAGCTATTTCTCACCTCCAGTCATGGTGTAAAAGGAAGATGAGGAGGAGAAGAATCAAACTCAGACTTAAGAATAAGAGGAATCCCGTTCTGACGCCGAAGATGCCGCAAGTTCATAAGTTCAGTACTGATGTTAAATATATATATATATATATATATATATATATATATATATATATATCATGGTCGATGCAAGTGTCAAGGGACTATCAAGTGGCTAATGATCATACAATGCCAGTTTGAAGGTGAAAAGCGTATACCAAAGGATGAGAACACACAAAAACTAGTCGAGTGTTAGCTAAACAAGTTTGCGGCGGACAAATGACAGCATGAAGCCTTTTGTATAAGTTAGATGAATTAGTTTCCCTCCGGGTAGCACTCCAATGCATGTGTCGTGAGACTTCATAACAGAGCACCCCCATCACAATGTGTGCGATGAGAGGTAGCAAAAATGAGGAAATAGAACAACAAACACGAACATCATTTGTTCCCTAAAAGGCCTCAGACAATGCGCCGTAAATTCTGGCCCGGATTGCCATGTTCGAGTACAGGGTAGACGCAGTCTAAGAAACAAAGCTGTCCTGCACTAGAATGATGTGAAACAGAAACATGTGTAAATAGTTTGGGTGTATGGCGCGGCGCACATAGTCCAAGAAGACACACAATGGTAAAAGTGGCATGCTATGTGACAAAACAAAAGGTCGATTAGTGATCGATCGATGCGCGAGAATGATAGGAGAAATGTGGAAGAGCTCTTCGTCGAGTTTGCATATTTGCTAAACAAAGTTTGCACTCACGAACTGTGGCATAAGATGGGCCTAAATTTGCCATTATTAAGGCAAATGTTGGATTGCGAAGCCAATCGAGTGTTAAGAACCTCGCATAAATCCAGTGCTTAGGCATTTTTTCATAAACGAGTTAACCGTACATGACAAGTATGCACTTGTTGGGATGATACGTGCGCGTGGAGTGCGCTGACTTTCGTCATCAGACGCACACCGAGTTGAGTCTTCACGGAAGATGTTCAAAATCAATCAAATGGCGATGCTAGGTAATTGTTGACGAAAGAACTAATTACGGTAGCCGGAAGACGTTCAGGCTGGTGCTTTCAAACCGAAAATAATAAGAGGGATTCAAAGCTCTGAGTGAGCCAAAAACATAAATGGAGAAAGTAAATACACAATGCGGAATTGCACAGCGGAGTTCAATGTTATAGAGAAGGGGCGAAGAAACACCACTTTAAACAAGTGTAGAGCATGTCAAACTTACTTTGATCAGCCGACCGGGTTGCAAAAATGGGACAATGTATTGTGGCCGCCTGATGTAGTGCCATTGCTGCTTCTCGAGGTCGCTCAGGCATAGACGAATCTGATGATAGGACTCGACAGAGTCCTCATCTTCCAGGGTGATTGATTCATAGGAGGCGCGCAGTTCATTGAGCTCTAGGAGACGCGGAACAAGTGAATCGTAGGGTCGTGTGATGGAAGAGATCAAAACGTGGATATTGACGCAATTAGCAAATGTCGCGCGATATAATAACTAGCCTAGGAATGGAAAGGGAACAGTGCCGGCGGCCGGAAGGATTACGCGCTTGTGTTGTAGTCCTCAGGTCGCCAGTTCGAATCCGCATAGGTGCGGGTGACCCCGCGGTATACTCAGCCCTCGTGCGACTTGTGGTGGTCGTGTGGCAGTGATGCGCCAGTGCACGGTGTACTGGCGTACTGCAAATGCCTTTGCTGCAAACACACAATTTGCGACTAATGACGGGATCACACTTACTATCATTAATGGGAGCAACAGCAGTTTGATTATGAATACCTCCTTGCGATGTGTTGTGCGAAAAAGTGTAGTGAAACCCATGTTATCCAATGTGAATAAACTGGACAACTGTATACATTGGAATTTCACACAGAATGGTCAAAGGGGAGTCTGAACCTAGGACACTGTACTAGATACCACTGCATCGCAGATCTGCTGAAGAGAAGTAAAACAAGAATCTAAGAGGCAGTGAATGAACGGTCGGGGGAGGATGGTTAGGTGGGAAGTATCGGAAACACTAGGGTGGGAGACTGGGGAGTAGAGTTGAACACCAAATAAAAACTAAGGCAATCAAGTTAACCAAGGCGCGGCTCGATCAATTTGTCAGATTAAGTGCGGCAAGAGAGCAGGGCCTTGAGAAACATCTAAGTAGAGTGGGTCATAAAATATATGAGAAATATTAATACATCGAGAGAAGGTCAAGCGAACGCTGAGGAACTGAGATGTGTGAAACGGCAAGAAAAGCCTCGAATCCGCATGTGTATCCGGTGAACGCATTCCAATACGGACGCCAAGAACAAAAGATATGCGCCCCAAAGATTTGGTTTCGAAACAATCAATCCATGTCGTTCTTCCGCTGAATGCCTCTCGAAGCTTGCCGCCAACAGCAAGAATGAATCAGACCCCAAACTGATAGGGGAAAAGACATTGGTTGAAAAATGTGCACTGGTTTCAGGGTTCCGGACTGGGTAAATAAGAAGTGATACTCACTCCTAAAAAGGAAAATGTCACTCATCGATGCGATATGGTGGCGGTTCTGTACAAAAAAATCAGGGTCCAAATTCAGACAGCGTGTGGCAAACCGATTACAGTACGAAATCCTCCATACTCCAGATGTGAAAAGAACTGTGATGTGATGGAATGGGGGTTACATGGTTACTGGAGTCGTGGAAGGCGCCGAATCTCGACGAACCCCTGATACACTAGGCCACCTGTCTATTGCCCGTTCGCGAGGGATTGTCCTACGACCAGAACGTATAAAAGGGAAAGAATGTGAGATAGTCACGATAGCGTGTTGAAACGAATAGTGTTTTAAAGAGTTGACAAGTTCGACGAGTCGGCATTTCGATTGTGAATAATTCACCACCAACCCGAGTAAAGTACTAAGTATCAACCGGTTTACGCCTTTCTGTCTACTTCTATTTAAATTGAGTGGCTTACAAACTCGTGGAAAGAGTCCCCAATGGGGGCCACAGTATCCAGACACACTGCGACATCGCCATCGAAAACTAGAGGATATGTTCCCAACTATCAACTTGGACGTCCGGTACGAAGTACCGATCGCATATATGCTTCACACCAATGCAGAGGACATTGCTGGAGTCGGAGATGAAGAGAAAGATCTTTTCCTTAGGCATATTAGTCACCAAGACAACGAACGCAGAACTACAAGCCCCAGTATATGAGAGGGGGGTTCATAGTGACCAAACTCTGGACTTCTATTCCAGTCACAAAAAAGACCTATTCCGTAAGATACAAGCATACCTTCAGAACCACAGAAGCAAAACGGAGACAAGATGCAATTGTTCACACCGTTATACCGCAACGAGTGATGACGCAATTTCGCTTGAAAATACATGTCTAAATGCAGGACTCCGAAATCCGAATGCGTGCGGACGATGTAGAAACGGAGTGTTCAAGCGCATACGAGCTTTTAATAAGTGGGAGCCAAGCTCCTTAAATCGCACCACGTGATGGATGCCACATATCAACCAAACGGCAAATCGCAATCACACTAATAACACAGTTCCCTGTAAACGTTTAAGTTTGCGCCAACAGCTGCTTGTATTAAACAGGTAGGAATTTGTCAACGAGAGAGTAAATGAGCCCACAGAGGTCATTATGCGTCGGCATTGGTTTCACAATGCTGGGAGAGAGAAAAACGCATCATAAATTAAACTGGAACGAGAAGTAAGACAAGTACTAGAAACTTGGCGCACCATGAATCACGAAAAACTAAGTACTGGTCTCGATGCTGTGTATAAGTCTTCAGCATTACGTCAGTATAATGTGAAGAGACTTCGCTATCAAGGGACCATCACCAGTCGCGCACGGTTCGGATATACATACACCGAGGTCACGCGCAATTATGCAGATTCGAACCCCTGATTTTTGGGTTGCAAATTAAACGCCACATGCTTTCGGCCACTGATCGACCAGAAAAAATAATACAGAAACAACAGGAATTCTAGTAAAGAGGGAAACGGGCTGCGTAAATGTGATCCGAACGGTTATTGCTCAAGTAGGAACGAATGGATCAATCCCACATCGCAAGAAGCTTCAGAGTAACCTATGGAAATTTGTCATGCATCCTGGGTACCCAGTGGAAAATTAGTCATAATGAAGTGTGGTAATTCGCGTCCAAGTTCAGGTCAGCCGACTCCAAGAACTACACCTAGATAACGGAGTTCGGTAGATCCAGCAGCCGTGACTTGCCAGCCATAATGACAAGATGCATAATAATAAGAATTAGTAATAATAATAACAACAGTAGATAACGATGAAGAAAATGAAGTAGAATAGAAATTACAGTGGGAAAAAGGGAAAAAGGGAAGAACTTGGCAATGTCTGTTGAAATGGAACATCAACTAATAGATGCGATGGCTTGAATGAAAAAGTACCACTGAGTCCGCAAAAGCGCTATATCGGATAAGGTCATCAAACACTGGAGACCCGAGCTCACAAAAAGGGCAAATGTCGATTTGACCATATTTTTCAACCAACCTCTCCACATTGCCACCTCTTCGACTGAACGGTCCACGGTTTCGCCAGATTAGAGGTAACTGTTATGGTTCTGGAATTGGCGCTAGGGATCAAAGTTTAAATCATGTCCACATGTCTTTGCCGCTGCTGGTATGGGGGCTGCCAATGAGATCTGCGATGAACAGATCATGGATCCTGAACACAATGAAGAACTCAGAACAATAACAATGGTACTTGCATTGTGTGAACTGAGAGACGGGCGCCTGTGTTTTGGACGATTGCATGGTCACTACCTCATCGGCCACCTCTGCCCACGATATGAACTCTGAAATTAATCCTGATGTCGATGAAACAAACACATCCTCTCATGACACCGTAGGTAAGCCTGTGCATACCAACAGTTCGTAGAAATCCGGTGGTGTGCACGGGTCTTCTCCTGGACCAACCGGCCTACGCTTTTTATCTGAAGTCCGGAAAATTGTGGAAAAGATTGTACTCTGTCGTCGGGTATTGTACCACGTTTACGTGGAAGTGAAAGAGGCTGTGGTTCGTAGACATCTCAAATCGACTGCAACGTCTCGCGGGAGGCTCAATGACCGCAAATCATCGGTGTTACATACACGGTTGAGATAGCTGGATCGCTAATCTCACCTCCGTCGTCAGAAATATGTTGTGGTTTCCTTTGAATCTACGGATAACCTACTGCTACCGCGCAGCTGACCGTCGCTACAAATCTGTTGTGCCTGCTCAACCCGCAACGAAATGAGAACCCCAAGACCAGCCGGACCGAGAATTCGTATTGCATGAGAACATAGCGGAATAAATAGGCTGAAGGCAGTTCCTACACATAACAATATCGGAAATGCTAATTGATGTCAATTAACACAACTCAAACGGTTCAAGTTCAGGGTTCAACTTGCTGCTGAGGCCACATAGATTCGTGATTGACCCCTGCTTGAGTTCGATCTCCAAATGTAGATCGATCCAATCTTGCGCCGCGGCTCTCGGTTTGAACGCTGACTGTAAGCTGACTCCCCGTAGCATTAACAACGGCAAAGAACGCCTGCCAGAAAAGGCAGTCAGTGAGTATACGCATTACATGATCCATGTTTCATTAGGAACAGTTCAAATTTAACGGACACTCCAGTGCAGCACTGGGGGACTTCCATCCAAACACAAATTGGTTTTCAGCACTGTTTAATGGGTACCTCAGACGGATATGATAACACTGCAATTACCACCAATTATGGACGACCAAGTTCTTAATGTTATCATCGAAAAGCAGCTATCCTCATGACTGAAGTGTTAACACCAGCTTTGCAGCAACTTACTGTATTATGCACTTAAATGACAAACTGAGATACTGCCGCTTTCACAGACTATGTCTGAAATCCGATGTAATCACTTCAGTGCTTTGATCAACACAAATGATAGAACTAACAAGAGTGAGTAAATCGATCGAACGTTTGAGTGACTGATTGTCACATGCATCTTAACGATCGCTGACTACGCACTCACATTGATTGGTCCCTTACACACATGCTCGCACGCATACACCAACATCTATCTTCACTTCTCGTAACTTGTCACTTTTTGAGTAAACTGTTCCCGTCCGCGGGCTGTCTTCTTTCTGACTAAGGGCCGATAGTCGGCCGGTGGCCGAGTGGTCTGCACGTTTGCTTTGCAACCATAAGGTCCCCGGTTCGAATCCGCTTAGGGGTGGGCGTCCTCGCGGTATACTCAGCCCGCGCGCGACTGGTGGTGGTTGCGCGGCAGCGAAGCGCCGTTACGAATGCAACATCAGCCTCAGCATGGGGCACCCCTTACACACATGCACGCACACATACACCAACACCTATCTTCACTTCTCGTAATTTGTCACTTTTTGAGTAAACTGTTCCCGTCCGCGGGCTGTCTTCTTTCTGACTAAGGGCCGATATACGTACTATTAGGAGCGAGACGTGACATTTGGCGACAGAGGTGAACATGTCCATGACAGAGACACCATCGGTCTTCTGATCTCGCTCTACCGATAAACCTTCTTTGGATACTTAGAATCGATGGCGGAAACACTTTACTCATTACTTGGAACTGCTTTCAATCTTGAACGCAGCAGTGTCTCTTTTGGAAGAGGTCCAAAGACATTTCGACGCTCTCCATATTGATGACATCTGTTCTACCATCGCCAGCGCTCTGAACATATTCAGGGATTTTGGAGGTGTTCGTCAAAATGTTTTTAAGGCTAGATATTACTGCTCCAAGCTCTCTCGGAAATCGGACGAAAATGTGAACCAGTTCATTGCTCGTGTGCTGCAAGTGGTACCTGATTCTAAGTACAATGAAATCGATCCAGCAAGGTTTGAAGAAACCATGCTACTTCAGTGCCTGATTTCGGGAATCTAAAACCAGCACACCCGAGAGAAGCTCCTTTCACAAGAGGTATGTTCACTGACGTGGGAGACAGCGTGTTCTATCGCCAGGCAGAGGGAAAACCTTACTCAACAACTGGCAACTTTCACTCTGAAAGACTCATCAGAAGAATTGCGATTGGTGAACAGCACTCCAAAAATAAGGCCGGTATTCACTGGCCACAATTCATTTGTGTGCTACCGTTGTGGTGAACGGCACAGTTGTCCATCTGACTGTCGACATCAAAAGACCGTATGTCTGAACTTCGGGAAGGTGCGCCACCTGGCGCGAGTGTGCAGATCGGTCAACGGGTGTTCAGGTGGGGCTTACCAGGGTCCAAAACCCATCAAAAGTGTGGGCGAGACGGATGTTAACCAGCCTGAGTTACATTCGATATGGCTGAATACTGTCCCCAATACGCGGCCAGCGCCATACACTCTGGTTTTACATTGGAGAACAGAAAGTACAGCTGGAGTTCGATACAGGAGCATCTGTGATAATAATTAGGAAAAGTGCTGTAAAATCACTGCCGCCCTTATCCAATTGCAGTTCCATTCTTCGTACGTACACTGGCGAACCCATACGTGGACTTAATAAATGCTTCGTAAAGACACAATACAAAAGCTCCCTGTGTATGTGATCGCTGGGAGTCGGTCAAATCTGCTAGGAAGAGACTGGATACATGCATTGTCGGATACATTGTATGTGATAAAAACAATCAATGAGGTGGCGGGACTTGAAGCTTTGCTAAAACAACACTCCCCGAGTTATGCGGATTAACTTGGGGAATTGGAAGGATTTCAGGCTAGGATAAAATTAAAGGAGGGCGCTGGGCAAAAATTCATCACAGCGCGCACAACACCATACTCTATGAGGAATAAAGTCGAAGAAGAATTAACTCGTTTACAAACGCAGGGTATTATTACTTCTGTAAAGTTTTCAGACTGGGAAACACCAATTGTCTGTGACCAAACCTGACGGCTCTGTGGTGATTATAAAATGTCTGTTAATCAATCCTCCATGCTAGTCAGGTACCCATTACCCCGCAATGATGATTTGTACGCAACACTGGCAGGAGGTGAGAAATTTACCAAACTTGATCTCAGTCATGCATACTCGCAGATGGAGCTCGACGAACCGTCGAGGAAACTTACTAAGATTACCACACGTCTGGGACTATTACAATATACTCGCTTGTCTTTTGGCATAAGTTCTGCCCCTGGGATCTTCCAAAGGATTATTGACGACCTAGTAAAGGATATACCTTTTGCCTGTGCCTAACTGACACAGAACATCTTCGCACACTCGCTGTTGTACTGGAGCGTTTGGAACGAAACGGATTTAGACTGAGAAAATCCAAATGTGAGTTCCTTTCTTCTTCCGTTTGTTACCTTGGATACTGGCTTGATAAACACGGGTTACATGTTCTAAATGACAAAGTGAAACCAATTTTAGAAAGTCTCGAGCCGAAGAACATTGATGAACTTTGTTCGTTCTTAGGCACGCTGTCCCATTATCGCCGATTCTTGCGTAACGCATCTACGGTATTGTATCCACTAAATGAACTGTCGTACAGAAATGTACCATGGCGTTGGGGTTCCAGTCAGCAGGATGCCTTCAAAAGGGCTAAGCATGTTCTTACTTCACCATCAATGTTAGTACATTATGATTCCCATAAGCCACTTATCCTTCAATGTGATGCGTCTCCTTGTTGAATCGGGGCTGTCCAGTGCCACCGCATAAACGACGGCACTTTACGCTCCATAGCATTTGCATCGCGCACCCTACAAATTGCAGAGAAAAACTACTCACAACTTCATAAGGAATCCTTGCCCGTAATCTTCGGGGTAAAGAAGTTTCACCAGTACTTATGGGGGAATTTCTTCGAGCTGCACACAGATCACAAACCCTTACTATCGTTACTGGGAGAAACCAAGGGCATTCAACAGATGGCATCACCCAGAATGCAGCGATGGACTGTAACCTTGAGTGCTTACAGTTACAAGATTGTTTACATTACGGGTGTCAGCAACCACACAGCCGATGCGTTGAGCCGCCTGCCAATAACTGAAACTACACAGGAACATGATCTTTCGTTTGAACCGGTTAATTTAATGCAACATCTAGACACAACACCGATACGCAGTGCAACAATCCGTCAGTAGACAGATCGAGATCCAATACTGCCAATGGTGAAACGATTTTTGACGGTGGATTGGCCTTCCCAAGGAACAGCTGACTTACAGCCATTCATGATTCGCAGTAACGAACTGAGCTTATTCGACGGCTGTACTTTTTGAGGCTCTCAGCTGGTTCATCCAGAGAAGACGCGTTCACAAATCCTCAAGGAACTACACGATGCTCATCCCGGTGTTGCAAGAAGGAAATCCTTAGCAAGTGGGTACTGTTGGTGGCCCAAGATCGACTTACACACAGTAAACTTATTGAGGAATTACAACGTTTGTCAGGTTCATCAACGTAACAAATCAACCGGTCGAGTGCAACGTTGGCTTTGGCCCGACAAACCGTGGCAGCGGATTCACGCTGACTACTTCGGTCCAATCAATGGAACAATGTTCCTTCTATTTATTGATGCACATTCTAAGTGGATCGATGTACACCCAGTTGCTCAAGCGACATCGGAAGCCACCAGTAACAAAATGCGCTCTTCATTTGCTACCTTTGGCATTCCAGAAACGTTATGCACAGACAACGGTTCACCCTTTATTAGCGCTGAATTCAATAAATTCGTCACCAATAATAGAATCCAGCATATTAAATCGACCCCGTATCACCCAGCATCAAACGGGCTAGCAGAACGTGCCGTACAAAAGGCTTACAAAAGCAACGAACGGGAAGGTTACAAACACAAAACTGGATCGCTTTCTATTCGCCTACCGTTCGACGCCCACTGAGACTACTGGTAAATCCCCGGCGGAATTGATGTTCGGCAGAAATCTTAGGACGAGGCTTCACTTGTTGTTCCTCAACCCGCGCGCAATAGTAGAGGAGCGACAGAAGAAATCTGTGTCCCCAAACGAGTCAAAGACGAAAGTCACATTCGAGCAACATCAACCAGTTTACACCCGGTTACTGCATGAAAAACCTTAGCAGCTTGCAACCGTAATCCATGCGGAAGGGATCCAATGTGACTTGCAGCTTTCGGACGGGTTAATCGTGCGCCGACACACGGATCAGGTACGCACACCAGGTACTGAGTCACCAAGCCAAGGCGCAGCCTGACTCGCATTCTGATACAGAACCAGTGGCGGTAGAGGATGAATATACGCCTACAAGTGAAACAACTCCACTTCGGCGGTCGAGCCGTGGAGTGTAGGAGATGTCACATGCATCTTAACAATCGCTGACTACGCGCTCACATTGATTGGTCTTTTACCCACATGCATGCACGCACGCATATACCAACACCTATTTTCACTTCTCATAACGTGTACCTGGTCATTTTGGAGTAAACTGCTCCCGTCCGCGCGCTGTCTCCTTTCTGTCTAAGGGTCGATATACGTGCTACTAGGAGCGAAAGGTGACACTGACGATGACAATAGCCAGCGTGTCCGCCTAGCCCTGCAAAAACGCCTTGTGTACTTTGACAATCCCAAAGCCAAGTCGCAACTTTCAGCACTCTGCGCAACAAGGTATGCAAGCGTTTCTGCGACTACCTCCGAGAAAAATCGTTTCTATCCAAGAGAACGTTTTGAATCAATACTGCACGGTGGAAGCTTCAACCCGCTTCATGAATTCAAGTGTGCCACGGGGCTACTTAATGGTCAAATAGGTTTTACACTTCACATTTTGGGTAGCGGATTTAAATGCTCGTGAATCTGACCATTCTTAGACTGACTCCTAAATATGCATGGATTTTCGCACCGGTCGGCTAACCAATACTGCAACAGGCTTTTGTGCTAAGTTGTTTACTTCTAGTCTGATTGCGATGAACGCGCTTTACGACCGGATTCACAGACAAGATTGAAATGGTTACACGGAGATAGGTCGTCCAATACTCTAGGTTTATCAGCCCGCCACCACCTGACTGAAATTACAGTCCAAAGACGGTTGAGAAGATTAGGGTATGAGCTTTCGGGGAGCAATGTAACCGCGGAATCCGCTTCCGGAGTCACCAGATCAGTAGAATCACCGACAAAGGTACTGTTATGTCGCCTCGATTGGTGACAATATTTCTATAGCCGAAGTGCTCAGTCAGAAGAGCAAAACTATATCTCAAAGTCTCATCCAAGTGATTGCTAGCTAATGAAGTGTGTTGCAATGACGTAGAATTCTGAGGTCACACAGAATCGGGAGCAAAGTGGCCGAAAATGGATAGAGGGCAGTTGTATTGGTACTTACCCCGATACATTTCCGGCAGGCTGGCGTAATTCTGAAATTGACAAAAACTACGTTCCATCATGTATTCGGGATTGATTTCTTCCACTCGAAGCAAGTTGAGTAGCATATTATTCGTAAGATGGAATGCGGAATTAAGAGGTGGTGGCGGTCCCATCATAATCTGTTTAGCGGCGTCTTCGTTCATGGTCTCGTCGACCATGAGGATCACCGTGCCACTATCGTCTTTCCCGCGGCGTCCAGCTCGACCGGACATTTGGATGTATTCACCGGAGGAAATCTGTGGACGAAGTGCAATGCAGTGGATTGGAAATATGTGGTTGGTGGACAAGGGAAGAGCAAACTAAAGCATTCGTGCAAACGAAAATGGGCGAGATAACTAATGAAAACTAGGATAAGTGGGGGAAAGGTATCCATAGCGTCTCAGCTCCTTGGGATGGATCCAGGTGGAAAGATGCAGAGACAACATCAGGAATGAAGCTAACATGGATTTCTAAAAGAAACAACTCAGCGTTATTAGCAGCGCAAGGTAACGATGTGCCAGAGTTAAAAGAGCATTGTAATCGGTGTCCCCTCGTACCAGCCGAGTTAGAGGTTATAAATAAAGTGCTTACCCATCGGTAGCTTTTGCCATCGAATTTGCGGGCGGAAGTAAAGAGAACCGTACGAGCCGGCATGTTCAAACCCATAGCGAAGGTCTCGGTGGCAAACAAACACTGAAACGATAAAAAAAAGAATGAACAGCATTAGAAGCTCCACAAAGAAAGGTTACTGATTTCTCTAGGGCCCACAAAAATTAATCTTGTCCAGCGCACAGTGAGAAATGGATACGCTGCGTCGAAGCTTGCTGCCAAATGACCACCATCAATATCGCATGCGGGTCGAAGAAACTGTGAGGTCGTTTACATTTACGCAGGTCTGAACTGGCGATTATTGAATTGAAAGCCAGACACCTGAACCACGGCCAACTGCCAGTATGCTGGGAACGCACACGGTAAAAGAGCATGAATTGCAAGGCGAATAACTTCAGCACATCCATCACCGAAATCACTCACGAGCCAGAGACGTCAGTCTACGGAACAAAATGATAACTTTGGTACTAAATAATCGTCTAGCTCTATTCCCTGTGTGCGGATTCTGCATAAGTGATTTGTTGCGATCAACGTAGAGAATCTGATGGGTGCCTGTTGGAATTTCCACAGTTAAGAGATCCAAAGCAAGTTAATGGAAGAAGCCTGTAACCCTTTTAGCCAAACAGAAATGCATCGAGAATGCAAGGTGATTTAGGTCCGGTAGGAAGAAAAGTACCGGCAGTTGTCGACATCACTCTTGACACACAACAAAGGCAAGGCAAAGCAGGCCACAGCAGTACGTCGGTACTGCGTACCGACGCTTCGCTGCCACGCAACCACCACCGGTCACACGTGCGCTAAGGATACCGCGGTAGTCACCATGCCCCTACGCAGGCTCGAACCCGCGCCGTCAGATTACAAGACAAGCTTGTTACCTCCAGAATACGGACTGGCAACAACAAAAGTACGCGGCGAATTGTCGGACGATTCTTGAAGGGTTAGGTAACGAGTAGTAATCTGGAGTTCTTCGTTGTGGTCTGGTAATAAAATGCTTAAAAATGAGGAGACAAAATCTTTTCGAAAAAGTGCGAGGTTTCCACCAACAAGTCTGTACTAAAAAGCACAGTCCACCTAGTGCGTTTTGAAAAACCCTCGTTCTCACTGTTCCACCTCATTCTACTCTGCCATCACACAGGTTCAAGCTTACAGGCACATGCTGAAAACAGGGACTGACAGAGTCTGACTCTTCCGAATCTGCTCATACATCTTCCTAATTTAACAGTCCCTCTCGCTCCAATTTCATGAGATCGGAAAACGCAACATCCGATATTCATGAGTAGCCTTGATTGAGACATTCTGTCATAACGTGTTAGAACTATACACATCCATTTCGTATTCCTTAAAACATTCGCTCGAGCGTCGCATATCCACATTTTTAAAAGCCAAAAATATAGGCCTTTTCCTCATCTTCCATATGCCCGGATAAAACTGGGTACATGGTGAAAATATGCAAAATGCCACACAACACGAATGTCAAAGAGGTAACCCACACCCTGGATCGAAGATCGTCTACCCATTAATATCACTCGAGGATACCGTGGCAGTCTGTTACAGGAGGCAAAACAATTCTGAGCTTAGAAACTCCATTCATCCGGGCAGTTACAAACTACATTCAATAATTCATTCATACATTGCATCCACAAATGAACTGCGTATGTTGACTTGACTCTCTATGGGAGTAATAACTTGCGTGAACGACAAATATAAATGACGATGTCAAAAACCAAATGTGAATGAGACCAACCAGAAGTCAAAAAGGGACGCAACTGAGACAAACGACTACCGTTGATAATATGTATACACCTCTTTATATCAAGGTTGATGTTGCATACGTTATGCTTCTTCACCACAGTTGGGCTACACGAACTTGCACTTAAACTATATTTTCCTAAGCTGAATAAAAAGTATTCCACATTATGTGATTTTCTAAGTTCCGTTCTTCTGCTGCATATTCATCATCATCATCATTCCTCAGTATACACGTTAGCTGGAGGTGAAAAACACCTCAGCTATTGTGCCGCAATACAAAAGACAAGAAAAAAATAACAGTGGCACGCCGGCTTAGTTCCCAGTAACGAATAGACATCGTTCCCGAGAACTAACAGCCCGCTATCATGCGCAAAAGGAGTTATGTCACGCCTAACGAATGAGATCATGGTTGGAGGATGCTAAGCAGGAGGGGGATGGACAAAGGAACTCACAACACAAACGCTATTGGGCCCGGCACTTCGCCATATCAGCGAGTGTGTCCAACCAAACATGTTTATCGTCCTTAGGACCTCAGCTGAGCAGTTGGCATGCACTAACCGACGCTAACTGCGGACTGAGGGTTCTCACTCCTCTCGAGCAAGTCATCGCTTGGCCTCCCCTCCTCCTCATCCAACCGCACCCCCGGTGCGAAAACAATGAACGTCGCGGGAGTCGGTGTGCTGACATGCGCAACACGTGGCCTAGCCATCACGATATAATGGTGCTGAGCGGTTCACTCGCTCTTCCTGCACCAAATACGCGACGCCGAGCACACTCATTGCTCACGCGGTGCTCCCACCAGACATGAACTAAGCTGCGAAGGCAGTGATGATCGAATGCAACGAGCCACTTTATGACCTGATGGGCCAGGTTTCACAACCATATAGGAGAATTGAACGGACGGCTGCGTTATAAACTCTGCCCTTCAGGGCGAGAGTAATTTCGCGTCTGCGCCACAGGTGGCGGAGATTGGCAAAAGCACGAGCTTTTGCTATACGGTTCGTAACCTCATCTTCGATCCCACGGGCGCTAATATAGCTGCCCAGGTACTTGAATTCCTGAACGACTTCTAGCTGATCACCACCAAGGGTCAGCACATGGGTGCGTCCATACCGATCTTGGAGAAATACTTTGCATTTCGATAGAGCTGGATATTCAGTGTTCCAGACGTACACAAGGCGGCGGCTGGGCCGTAGTCCGCTTCTTGAGCCTAGCACTAACACACGCTGTATATTCAGTGTCAAATTTGCGTCTTTATTTTCCTTCAAATTGATATCCCCGGTGTGGCTGCGTTGGATGTGAATGTTGACAAGGTTCCCATCTGTCTATCACCCTTCACTTCGATTATTGGATCCAGGTGACTGTTAATCTTTGCTTGGGTAAAGAGTCCATCGTCCTCGTGGCCGTGCTAGGCTCAACGAGCGTACTACGGTCCAACTGCCGCCTTTTGTTCGTCTGGGACGCATGATGTTGCTGCTGTGCATGTTGGAGGAGTGTGGACCTGCTCCATAGATGAAACGTTTCTGCCATCTACGGGTCTCCCGGTCTTTATCCTTTGTGTTTACATTGGATGTTGGTTGTGCGAATGAAGCTGTGGGTGGTGCAACACAAGCCACCCACAATCCCTCAGTAGGCGCAGGCGCCCTTCTGGAGGCCGCAGTGACAGACTAATTCGGAACCGGATGCCGCCAACCATAGCTAAGATATATGCATAAACCTTGAAGAATTTGATTCCCCAGGACTAACGACCAAATCATATGCACAAACGTGGTGTGTTAACATACATATTTATCATATACATAAGAGAGGAGTTAGTTGCTCAGTAAGTTAAAAACAGAGAAAAAGACAAGAGATCAGTAGGTATATGCAATGAACAGTGCACTCCATCCATAAATATAAGGACACACGAAAGGAGAGATAGCGTGAGTTACAGAATACAGGGTGACTGGTATTTCGGCTCAAAGCAAGAAGGATGAATATGTGGAGCGGTGATCAAATATCCACCCATTCAAACTTAAAGTACTCAGTGACGAGACTGGATCTTAACGTGGTGCGATGGTTTGCGTGCCTGCGATCCACTGAGATGCTTTTTTGCACCTTCAAAGCCACTTATACCAGACTGATCAGTGGTTAGAAACCAGATTAACTCAGTCTCCTGACCCTCCAGGTTGGGGGTTGAATTGAGAGTGGCTCCTTACTCTATAAAATGGACTCTCTGTAGCCTAGTGCCACAAGCCCGCTGCCTTGCGGTAAGGTTTTTTAACCAAAGGCTTTGGTTGAGAACCCTAATTGTTCTTCTCTCTGGACATGGGCAATCTGACAGTATTCCGCCCACGCAGTATAACTATGACTTCTCCTCCAAGTCATTTCATGGTGCTCTGGCCGTCGCGAAGAATAATCAACGGCGCTCTATCGACTACATCGAGCAGGATGGATAGGTGTTTGGATGCTACTGCTCAAGCCTTCCCACCTTCTTATTCCCCCTTGCGCTTTTTCATCCTTAGCGTCCCACTCCAACTTCACTTGTATCCCCCCGTTTTGAACCTTCCAATTCTTGGCCCTACCCCATCTGGCTTCAGTGGTCGCTTGTCTTCTAGTTTCAACTCACACACAATCGCAGGGCGTCGCTCCAGTCCGTTGGCAAGTCCATGTTCAACCAAGTGGACGATGTCAGTTCATCCGTTTCTCTTTGGAGCCCCCGATCCTCGCTTATAAAAGCCATAATTTGGTCAAAAGGAATGAGATCCTTCACCTTGAAGTTGGCGTCGGTTGGTGTGCCCCGACCGCTTGGCTGGGGTCCGAAGGACAAGGAATACGTTTCGTTGGGTACACTATTTGACATGGAAATAAATCGACCTCAATGGCGTTTGTGTTGTGAGTTTCTTTGTCCCTCCTCATCCTGCGTATCTTCCCCATCCAACCTCGATTCCCCTCTTGACGCATAATATGTTACAAAGTTGTCTGTCGCCTGCATTTTTAGCATTCTACAATTTTCAGCATCTTCTTTTTTCGTTTGCCTTATCTTTATCTTAATCTACCATCGCCCATTGGACGTCTGAAGGACAGGAACTTCGGTCTATTGGGAAGTGACGGGTGAGTGAGCCAATCTGCAACATCAGGACAGGTACTGTGAGCTTATTGGCAACACGTCGCGCACCAAGCAGAAGACATGTGTTAAAATTTGCGCACCTAATCATCAGCCCTCGGTAGCTCAGGTGGTAGAGCAACGGACCGGAAATTCGTGGACCGGGGTTCGACTCCCCGTCGAGGCATATTATTGTGCGTGAATTTTAATCGTGGCTTCTACTTTCTTCGAACTTTACACTACTCACAAACATCCACCATTTATCTTTATGTATTGCAACACAACAGTTGAAGTGTGTTCCTCATCATCAGTTTATGGGTAATGATGATGAGGAGAAAGATGATGATGATGATGAACTTTGATGTATCCCCAACCTGGATTGCTATCATGAGGACACGGCATCTCTATTCTCCGAGTATTCTGCTCATTTTACATTGCTTTACCGTGTCCTACAATCGGTTACCATATCGTATATTTATTCCTTTCACTTAACCACTAACATGTCCTTGACGTTTCAAGGTCATTCATATTATTATGTTAATGTGACACCGCCCAAATACTCGCACGCCGCCGCACGCTGCACAATTTCTGCCCTTTTGCACTACAAGTACAAAACCTATTCAACCATAGTCACAGGATAATTCGTTTTATTCTTCTACTCAGACCGTGCGTTAAGTCTAGGTTTATTTGTTCGTAGTTTCTAGTTTAGGTTTCGTACGACGTACTTAGTTTAGGCTTCGTATCGTTGGTACATAATTTAAATAGGTTTTGCAATCATGTCCGTTTCTGGTAATTCTCTTGATGATGTTGACGCTAATGATGTTGAGAAGCTTCAAAGAGCTGAATACCGTATTCGTCTGCTGGAGTTGGCTTTAACGAGCATGCGCATGCTGCAGGCGAAGATGGTTGATGTCAAAGACTACTGCGAACCTGAATTTGAGTCGAATGCGCTTATTAATGAACGAGCGCGATTCATTCCGACCGACGATTGTGTGCTTCCGCCCGAAGTTGCCATCTGATCGTCTTTATTGAAGCCGGTTAATAGCAGTCCGCGAGTTCCGTCCGTAGCTCGGTCTGTCTGTCGGTGCCCGGGTTCGATCGCAATCGGAGGCGTTTCCCTCCGGCCTGCAAGCTGACGGTAACCTGTGTCCGGAACGCAGATCCAGCGACTTTGGACCCAGCACGTCATCCTGCCTTCCAAAACGCCCAGAGCGTGCGTGAAGTCTAAGTTCATTTGGTCGTAGTTTCTAGTTTAGTTTTCGTACGACGTACTTAGTTTAGGATTCGTATCGTGGGCGTGGTATATCGCAGTCCACTGAGCCGCTGCTTGGACTGGTTGCCGCATGTCCGCAACCACATGAGTCGTCAGCTGTTCCTACTCATGGGCGATTTCAACTTACCCCGAATACAGTGGCCTGAGGCTGAACTTCTCCCGGCCATTGTGAAGTCGAGAGGAAGTTTACGGAGTTGATATTTGAAACCGGGGCCACACAGCACATCAACCAACCGACGCGCATAACTGCGCGCGCGACTCCATCGTGCTTAGACCTGCTTTTGACTAGCTGTGAGCAACGTGTGCATGACATTCAAGTCTTGGAGCCCCTGGGAGCGAGTGACCACTCGATGATCATAGCCAGCTTGGAACTGCCGCTGCCGTATTCTCCCCGCTGGAGCCAGCCTTCAACTATTGGAAGGCGGACTTTAATGGCCTCACTCGAGCAGCGAGCCAGATGGACTGGTCTTTACCAGAGGATTCGTCTATTGAAACCTGTTGGACTATCATTAAAGAGGGAGTGAAATCGTTGTGCGCCCGATTTGTACCCCTCAAGTATCGGAAAGTTGGGCCAGTCAAACCACATTGGTTCGACAAGAAGTACAGCAAACTGGCCCGACGACGACGCAGACTATGGAACAAATTCGTGTTATCTGGTTCTGATGAGGACTACAAGGCGTACAAGGTACAGCGAAATCTCTGCAACAACGCGAAAACAAAAAGCGCAGAAGCTTCGAAGAGCAGCTTGCAACCGCCGCAAAAACTGCTCCCAAGAGGATCTTCGCCTACGTGAAGCGGCGCCTGAGGCCTGCAGGCAATGTGCCAGTGTTGGAAGGCTCAGATGGACAGCCCCTAACCTCGAGCACAGATCGTGCGTCCGCATTGGCGGCGCACTTCGCCTCCGTATTTGCAAGTGACCAGGTGTCTGTAACGAGTTCGACGAGTACCGCTCCCGCTGAACTAGACAGCCTGGACTGCAGCATTGAAGATGTACGCAAGCTTCTGGCAAGTCTTGACGGGACGAAGCCTGCCGGGCCAGATGGAATCCACCCACTGATTCTCAAGTCCCTATCGGCCATCATCTCGCCTTCTGTAACTGAGCTGTTCAACAGGTCACTATCCACTGGACTATTACCGGGCGACTGGAAATGCTCAGTCGTAAAGCCAATACCGAAAGGTGGTAACCCAAGCAAAGTGGATAACTACCGGCCGATCTGCCTGACCGCTGTTTTGGCAAAGACGCTCGAGAAGATCGTGAAGAAGAGTCTTCTGCAGCTTCTCGAGTCGAAAAGCCTCTTGACGCCCGCACAGCATGGTTTCGTGAAAGGTCGCTCGTGCATCACCAACCTACTGTTGACGAGGCACGAATGGTTACAAGCGCTGAACCAAGGCAAGTCGGTCGACGTCATTTACATTGACTTCAGTAAGGCTTTTGACAAGGTAAATCATGCAGTGCTCCTCGACAGGCTGAGGGTGTGCGGTGTTGGCGGCTCGCTGCATCGATGGATCAAGAATTTCCTTGTTGATCGAAAGTGGAGGGTCCAGGTGGACAACCATTTAACCGACTGGTATCCATCGAGCAGTGGCGTGCCCCAAGGCACTGTACTGGGGCCGATTTTGTTTCTGATCCATGTAAACGATGTGCCTCAGCTACTCCAATCACCTTGTGCGTTGTTCGCAGATGACTTGAAGGTGTGGAGAGTAATCCGCACACCCAATGATTGTGACCTGCTTCAGCAGGACCTCGACCGCCTCTCCACGTGGTCTGCAGAGGTCAACCTTCCGATCAACCCGGTCAAGTCGCAATTCATGAGGCTGGGTAAGTGTGAGCACAGTCGAACCTACACGGTGGCTGGTCAACCGTTGCATCCCGCGCCTTTCGTGCGCGACCTCGGTGTACTCTCACGCTACGACCTAAAGTCCATGGACAACACGAATAGGCTTTACCAAAACAGCCTTCGTATGCTTTGGGCGCTCAGGCGCAGCTTCAGCACTTGGTCCGAAGAGATTGCCACTCGCCTCTTCGTCTCAATAATACGACCAATGCTAGAGTATGGCTCTCCCGCGTATTGTCCTATCACCCGGGCGAGGTAGAAAAGATTGAGCGAGTGCAGCATGTAGCCACCAGGCTGATTCCCAACTTACGAGGTGTGCCGTACGAAGACCGGTGTAAGAAACTAGGGCTGTACACCCTAGCTTATCGTCGACTGAGGGTTGACCTCATCATGACGCACCGGATATTACATCTGGGAGATTACCCCATGTTGAGGCCGCTGCTTCATCTGCGCACACCAAGCAGCACACGAGGACACCGGTACAAGCTTGTCGTACCGGATTTGAAGCGGGTCGCTCACCAACTCTGTTTCGAACGCAGAGTGGTGAATGTATGGAACGACCTGCCGCAGCACGTAGTTGAGGCAAAGTCGGTGTCGGAATTTAAGAAATTCCTGGACAAACACTTTGCCGACATAAAATATATCGAGCGCAACACAACATAACGGGTCTTTGTCCCTGAGTGACATTAGATGCAGCTACACAGAGCAACCAGTTATCAGTACAATGATGATGATGATGAGGAAGAGGAGGAGGATGATCACTCAGTGATGAGCGACCATATGTGATGCGAATATGCTTATTTTTATGACGTTGCTGGACCCTACCTAAGATTTCTGAACCGTAAAATCTGTACGATAATCAGACTACATAAACGAAACTGCTTCTCGTCTCATCGAGAAGTATGAATTATTATCTGTTCCCAACGTTATTATTAATATTAGAGGGTTAAAGTGTTCGTAAACATGCATGTGACGTTATATAAAGCGAAAGGAGCATAGGATCTTGCTACAGAGACGAAAGCCACTCGAATAGTTCTTATCGGGAAAACGCGGTAAGGCATGAAGGTTAGCAATGGACGTCACATATCCATCGTGTGACCGATAAAACCCGGCTACTAGCCACACCAATGCAAAGATCACAGTGAGAAAGAGAACAGCTCAATTGCAACATGCGAGTGAAGAACAAGAAATCGATAGAAGTTTACCGAACTAAGGCATCAACAGCACGCCGGTACGCAGTACCGACATTTTGGTGCCGCGCAACCACCACCGGTCGCACGTGGGCCAAGGATACTGCGACGATCTCCTAGTTCCTACGCAGACTCGCACCCGCGCCCTCAGACTGGTGATGCTTAAGGCTGTGTCGGCGAACCAAGGCAAAGACATCGCCAGTACGCCGACACATGGTACTGACGCTTCGCTGCCACGCGATCACCGTAAGTCGCGCGAGTGGGCTGGGTATACCGTGAGGTCGCTCGCACCTAAGCGGATTCGAAATGATGACCTCAGGATTGTGACGCGGGCGCGCTATGCCTTCAGTCATCAGCCTTTAGAATGTGTCACGATGAAGCGCATGACTAAAGCCGGCACACTGCAGCTATCACACAAACGCATCAAAGTGACTTCGGAATACCAAACGGATAAAAGGACAGATTCTAAGGTAACGCTTGTGTGAACACTGCATGGGGGGGGGCAGGAATGGGTCACCTTGATCAGGTTTTCACCGAACAAAATCTCAACAGTCTCTTTCAACAGGGGAAGTAATCCTCCGTGATGTATGCCGACCCCACGACGAAGTAGAGGTAGAACGCTTTCCACCTGGGGTAGAGCTCTATCTTCTGCTGATAGCCCATCGATAGCGTTTCGGAACACCTCATCGACCACCTTTTTCTCAGCATCTGGAGATGAATAAAAGAGATCAGAGCGAAACCAAGAAACTGAGATGTATCAAAGTACGAAGTGCAGAAAGAAACTATCGGATGTACAACATTTTGGGCTGAAGTGGAGCAACACGAAATGTACTGAGTGAAATCGCAAGGTACTTTTGCGGCCACAATAGATTATCCACCTAGGTCAAAATTCTATTATTCTAAGATGTCATAGAACGAAGTGACGATGATAAGATCAAGGATGAGTTAGTGTTTGTCTGTTAAAGGAAAAAGGAGCTTGCACATAACTTAGGACGTGAATAGAGGTTAAATAGGAGAGGGAAGCGATAATAAGGGCGCAACAACAACGTGTGATAATTTATTCCATAGTGCTGGACGGTGCATAGTGCTCCATCGGCCGAATTAGCCGTCTTTAAACTGCAATGCACGGGTCTCCTTGCACTGAAGATGCAACCAACTTGCGCAGAACATGAGAGAAGGCCACATGATAGATAAAGGTAGGCCGATTGCATATGGTGTGGACTACGGTGGTTAGTACTTGTGCGGCCCACAAAGCGTATCGATGAAAAAAGCGTACAGACCTCAACGCAACGTGTTGTGGTGCGCAGGAAATACTACTGCGTCCGGAGCGAGTAGTGTGGTATAAACTGGAAACACGACAGGTAAGGAACAAGCCGCGGACCACATCAACGGTTTGAAACAATGTGAACGAGAAAGGGCCACGTAAAGAGGTGCCACAAGAAGAACCATGGGAGCAATTGGATATGGAGACTGTATCGCGATGTGTCTGGAAAAGATAAACGTGGTGACATGCAACGGTATACAGATGAGTTGTGTCGATGTCAAGATGGATGTGCTGACTGTCTCAACCTGTAACCCCTCTCACATCTCGGATTGTTACAGCGTGACTGCAAACCTTCGGGACTAAAAAAACTAGTTTGGCGAAAGGAGTCACCACTGAGATGCGTTTTGGTGTCGTCATCGGTACAAGACGAAGATGTTTCAGGGATAGTGTGAGTAGGTGTAAACCATGTTTGCTTCCCCCCTCCTAGTGAAGATCAATGCCATCCGGCCACGACGTCGGATTTGGTACAGCCGGTCATGCACAGCCGAGACAAATGATGCACATGGAAGCTAAGAACGGGTCGTGGAATTCGAAGCTCGGAAACAAAGCGCCTCACAATTAAAAAATGGAGAGGAAAATGCATAAAATGAGTAGGTGGAATGTGAGTGTTGGGAGGAGC